TATGTTTAAATGCTCAGTGAAAATGGAGCCAAGCTGGATGCCAAGTCAAGAATATGTATTTTTTTTGTGTATGATGGTGATGATATAGGTTATAGGATTTGGGATTATATTGCAAAAAAAGCCATCAAAAGTTCGGATGTTCTTTGCAATGAGAATGTAATGTTTGCTGAAAAGAAGCTGAAAGAGCCAAAACAAAAAAGGCTTGTTGTGGATATACAAGAACCAAATCTCATTTTCACCTCGACAAATGTAAGAGAGTCAATCTTAAGCTCAAGACAGTTTTGATGGAGGTGATACAGTTATAAGGACAATACTAAATTAATTCAAGATGAAGCAGGACTACCAGTTACACCTAAGCCAGAATTGAGAAGATTCACACGCCCTTTCAAGCCCACACAAAGGTATTCTCTTTCCCTATAATATACTTTGTATACTGATAATGCTGAACTTGAGTCTTTTCAGGATGCTATTTATTACCCTAATGCTGAAAAGTGGCATAAGGCAATGGAGGATGAGATTGATGGTTTGCATAAGAATGATACATGGGAGTTAGTGGAACTTCCATATGTGAAGAAAGCATTGAAGAATATGTGAGTATATGCAATTAAGTGGGAGGCAAATGGTCTTATGCGGTATAAGGCCAGGCTTGTGGTGAAAGGTTATAGTAAAAATCCAGGTGTTAATTTTAAGCATAGCACTATTAGAATTGTTTTATCTTTGGTTGCTAAATTGAATTTGGAGCTAGAACAACTTGATATTAAGACTGCCTTCTTGCATGGTGATCTTGATGAAAAAATTTATATGTATAAACCTGAAGGTTTTGAGAACAAAGTCAATCCTAACTAGATTTGCAAGTTGAAAAAGGGATTGTATGGCTTGAAAAAAACATCTAGGTAATGGTATATGAAATTTGACAGCTTTATGCTGAGTGAAAGTTATTCTAGATGTGATTTTGATCATTGTGTATACTTCAAGGATTCAGCATATGATTCTTTTACTGTTTTGTAGCTTTATGTTGATGATATGCTTGTTGCTAGCAATAATCAAAGTAAAATCAAGCGTTTAAAGCTTGATATGTCCAAACATTTTGCCACTAAGGATCTTAGACCAGCCAAGAAGCTTTTGGGCATGCACATCCATAGAGACAGAAAGCAAGATAAGCTTTGTTTAAGTCAATCTAAATATATTTTTTAAGTTCTTGAGCACTTCAATATGATTGACTGTAAACTTATTTCTACACCATTAGCTGCATAGTTCAAGTTGGCTAAAAGGGGACTCCCCAATGAATGAGGTAGATAAAATTAAAATGAAGAATGTTCTATATACTTCTGCAGTTGGTAGTTTGGTGTATGGAATAGTTTGTGCTATAACTGATATTGCCCATGCAGTGGGAGTTGTTTCCAAATTTATGTCTAATCCAGGTTGGGAACATTGGCAGGTAGTTAAGTGGTCCTTCAGCATTTGAAGGGGACACGAAATATATGATTGTATATTGGAAATTCATCATTGGAAGTTGTTAGATTCGTAGATGTAGATTAAGCAGGATATCGTAATATTAGAAGGTCTACCATTGGATACATTTTCAATATTGGTGGTGGTGCAGTCAACTGGATGTCAAGGTTGAAGGATATTGTTACATTGTCATCAACTGAAGCTAAGTATGTGGCATTGACTGAGGCAATGAAAGAAATGATTTGGTTGGGGAGGTTACTTGACCAGTTTGGGATGAAGCAGGATAAATATGTTGTGCATCGTGATAACTAGAGTATTATTCATCTGGCTAAAAATGCAGCTTCATGTAGAGGTCAGATACCCTTTTATTCGTTTGGCCCTCGAGTATAGAGATTTGCAGGTGGACAAGATTCACACTGGGAAGAACCTTACTAATGTGTTAACAAAGGTTATCTCAATTGAAAAAAATGCGATGTATAGAAGACATTCAAGGTTGGAGGAGACGCAACCTCGAGTAGATGGAGAATGGTGCATTAATGATTATTTCAGAGACTTTGTGATTTATCTTTAAATGGGAGATTGTTATATGTGTGAAAACAAATCACACATGTAGGTGTTTTATTTGACTTTTATGTCTTTTATTTTGGACCATTGGATTGCATCTAATCTAATGGTATGATGTTATAGGAACTTTAGAAAATAAAGGGATTAAAACCCTTTTGCTTAGAGATAGAAAAGAGTGAAAAGAAGATAGAGAGATTGAGCTGCAATTGCATTTTCTCTTGAGGGTTGTTGTTTACTCTGTTTTAGATAGAGAAAGTCAGCAAAAGCTTAAACCCATTGTGGATTTGTTGTGTGTCATAGTTTAGTAAGTGAAGTATCAAAGAGAACCAATTTTTTGGTATTCTTGGTGCTTTTGGTATTCTTGGTGCCTTGTTTTTTGGCCATATTTAGAGTGAGAATGGCCGCTGGAAATTAATGTTTTGAGGTCGATTTCACTTTGTAATCTTCCAAAATCAGCAAGTAAAGCCTCGCGTCATTCTCCCGTGGATGTAAGTCATGATTTGTGACCGAACCACATTAAATTGTTGTGCTCTATGAATGCATGTTGCTGGACTTTTCATTTCATGTCCTTACTTTGATATTGTGTAGTTTTCATTGCTTGTTTATATTAATACGAATGCACAATAGTTGTGAATATTATAAACCCTAGCTGATTTTTCACTGATTAATTCCAACAACCGGTATCAGAGCCTTGGGTTTGTTCTTCATTATGTTATAAAGAAAGGGTTTTTTGTTATTGTGGTTATTTGCTGTATTTTTATTTAAAAGATAAAGGGCAATAGAATTTGAAAAATTAAATCAAAGCAATTGACCAATATGGAAAATGATGATAGAAGATTATCTTGTTGGAAAAGAACTAAATAGGTCAATTCAAGGAAAAGAGGTTGTGCCTAATGGAATGGAAGATCGGGAATGGGATATTCTTGATCGAAAATAAGCTATTAGACCATGTATTTTACCATCAATTTTATTTGATGTTTGTCAACGTAAAACATATGCAAAGCTTCGGCAATTTTTAAAGCAATCTTTTGAGCAACCATCTAGTTCAAATAAAATGCAAGCGATGAAAAAATTATTTCTTTTGACAATGAAATACGGTGTTACAATTAGATCGCATGTGAGTGAATATTATTCGATTTCTGCACAATTGAGGTCTTTGAAAATGAATTTGGTTGAAGAAGTTTTAAGGTTCTCAATAACCCCTAGCTTGTGGAATCGGGAGTCCCAAATGTCGGGATATCACCCAAGATCGTGTACATAATTGGCTAAATGTGATGTAGATAAATACAATTATAAATCAGGTGCAAGAAATAGAGCAAACATAAAAATCATATCACAACAACATACGATTTACATGGTTCACCCCATATGGCTAAATCCACGGCTTCGACAAGTAGAAATCTCATATCTCAATGAAGATTACAATTTGGGGTTACAAGAGATAATACTTATCTCTAAACATCGGTAAAATGCCATCATCGATCTAAACCCGCTCTCTCGATTGAGCAACACTGTCAATTAATACCTTCTTTCCCAACGCAATACCACAATCAGAATGATAACTTCGAGAGCAACCGAGAGATTTTTTCTCTCTAGAATTTGAAGCCTTATCAACCCAAAACTCATGGGAATATAGCCTCTCTCTGAGGCCATGTCTCTCTCTGTTTTGGAGACCCATCTCCACATTGGAGATCCATTCCTATGACCCCCAAAGGAGTGACCCTCAAAAGTATGGGTATTATGTCTTCTTTGATTCCTTTATATAAATTTTACTTTCTTGCTTCTCAAGAAATTCCTTCTCTTTTTACCATAATACCCTTAATATTTTAGTAAAAACATAGTTTTGATGATTTTAACTATCACCAAGCCTAACAATCTCCACCTTGATAGTAAATCACCATATTATCCTATCGACCTTCATTGAATAAATTTCTTGATTTCATTCTCACTTGCCTCCATTGTGGAATTTTCACAAACACTTTACCTCCATATTTCTCTACTTCAAACCATGTACCCATCTAACTTCCCCATTCATCTTTTTTTATATATACATACTTTGCCTCCATATTTCTCCACTTCAAACCATGTACCCATCTAATTTCCCCATTCATCTTTTTTTTTTATACAAGCCTTAGCCCCGTACACACCTTATCCTCTAATACCAATTGTAGGATTCTCAAGAACCCCTAGCTTGCGGAACTGGGAATCCCAAATACCAAGATCCCACCCAAGATCGTGTACATAATTGGCTAAATGTGAAGTAGATGAATACAACTGTAACTCGAGTGCAAGAAATAGAGCAAACATAAAAATCACAACACAACAACACACGATTTACGTGATTCACCCCATAGGGCTACATTCACAGCTTCGGCAAGTAGAAATCCTATATCTCAATGAAGATTACAATTTTGGGTTCTAAGAGATAATACTTATCTCTAAACATTGGTAAAATGTCATCATCGATCTTCCCTTCTAAATCCGCTCTCCAGATTGAGCAACACTGTCGATTAATACCTTCTTTCCCAACGTAATACCGCTATCAGAATGATAACCTCGAGAGCAACTGAGAGATTTTTTCTCTCTAGAAATGGAATTCTTACCAACCCAAAACTCATAGGAATATCGTATTTCTCTCTCTCTAAGGCCATGTCTCTCTCTCTCTCTCTCTTGGAGACCCATCTCCATATTGAAGATCCATTCCCATAACCCCCAAATGGGTGACCCTCAAAAGGATAGGTATTATGTCTTCTTTGATTCCCTTATATAAATTTCACTTTCCTGTTTATCAAAAGACCCCTTCACTTTTTATCATAATACCCTAAATCTTTTAATAAAAACATAGATATGGTGATTTTGACTATCACCAAACCTAACAGTGTTATCACTAAGGTCATATTTTTTTTTTTTATAAGTTAGTGGGGGAGAAGGCCCCTACCCATTTGTCATTAATAAGAGAAAATAAAGAAGTTACAGCTCATTACTTTACAACCCTATAATAAGGCACTTGGGACAAATCATGAGTTAAAGCAAGGGTAATAAAATCTGGTAGATGAGATCACCAAACTGTAGCTTCAGAATGGGTTGTGGCCCTCTTAGCAAGAGTATCTACCACCATATTGGCCTCACGAAAAGTATACGAAATGGACCACCCATGCCTTGATAGTTGGTGTCGGCAATTTGCTGCAACCGTATACAACGTCCATGAAGGTCGGCAGCGGTCATGAATAATATTAATGAGCAAGGCTGAGTCACTTTCAATTTGAAGAAAGAAACATTGTAACTGATTGACAAGGATCATACCTTCTTCCAAAGCAAAGCATTCTATATAATTATTAGAGGCTATTTCGAAGGATAGTGAACGTAGCAATAAACGCACTATCACAATATTTAATAACACCACCACCACCTGCTCGGCCTGTGTTATGTAAGGAAGCACCATCAATATTTAACTTGAAATGATGAGGACTAGGAAAGGACCATGCCACTGGGATAAGAGATTTAGCCTTTTGCTGATACCATGTGATCTGCAAGTTACCAATGATAGCTTTCCGACAAATGAAAAGCCCAGGTTTTAGCATCAGCTAACTCCTGAACATGAAAAATGATATGTCTAAGTAATTGTTCCCTTCTGATTCATCTTTATTGAAAAACTCTCTGATTACACTCCGTCCATAAGAACTATATTGTTGTGAAAAATAAAGAAGTCTAAATATTAAGAAAACCATCTGATCTGAATCTGAAAGATAACCAATTTCTGAACATAATAGGAATAAAAGTGCATAAATGAAACGCTTGCAACTCTCCCATGCAACCGACAATTTAATCATAAATGCTACTATTTTCTCACTATTGCCTATTAGTGAATAGCTTCAGGCACTATTTGGTTCCTCCAGCTATTCATTACATGTGGTTCTCTAACATGCCTATTGTCAAAAGGCCCCAAAAACCCTCACTCATCCACTAAAGAACTTTGATTTGCCCTAATTTCCTAATTAATCTACCCAAAAACAAAATGACAGTAGTCTGTAAAATGGGCATAAGTAGGCGCTCATGCGAATTGACTTAGTGTGTGTGGCACAAAGAGAGGGTTCACACCTTGTCTGTAAGTGTTTGCTCAGTGTTCGTGTCACTGTTAGGAGGGGTTAGCAACAAAGTATGCGAGCACGCCGACTAGGGGAGCATTGATGTAAGTCGTGGGCTCTGAGAGGCGGAAGGCAGCACGGTCATCATTGTACTTGTCATCCTTCCCGGGGCCACCTACGACAGCCCCAACGTGCATGTTAGGGTTGGGGCCTGATGAACTGAAATACACAAAGCCCTCCTTGCATGCAATGAGCTGAGGGTGGTCTACAATCGATGGCAACGACGATCCACGGTGGTGTATCTTTAGGGGGTACCGATCACCGTATCCCACCATATACGACATGTTCATTGGGTTGTCACCCAGAATGTAGTCGACCTAGATATGAAAAAACTCAGATATATCAATGCTTAGAATTTGAGAGTGTGTTGTGTGACCCACTAGAATATAGTTATATGTTACAAGATTCGATGTGTTGTTTTTTATTGTAATAGTTGGCGGGGTTTTTTTAAAATGGGGCTCTTAAGAGCATTCGTTAGGGATGGCAAAGGGTCAGGCCTGGGGCTGGCCCACCCTTGGCCCTAGCCCGACCCTAGTACCTATAGCGCCGGCCCATGGCTGGCCCACCCTTGGGCCTAGCTCGGCCCTTGTACCATAGTGCTGGAATAGGCCTGGCCCAGTCTGGCCTTGATCAAGCCAAAAATGCCATGGCCAAGCCCTATCAAGACCGGGCTGAGCTAAATACAATAAGAAAAAATGAAAGAAAAATAACAAGAAAAAGAGGGCCGAATCACCCAATAGCCCCGTCTCGTACCTACCCTTGAACCATGTTGCCCAGCCCTTGGGCCACATTTCATGGCTTAGGCCATAATTTTTTTAGGGCAGGCCTAGATGGGCCACCTAGCCCATTGCCACCCCTACTCAACATTGGACAACGAGACTAAATGGTGGATGATACTTTGGAGTACCATTTTCCAAAGTTGAATCATGTTATAGCTTGTTTGGATTTCCATGATCTCACAAAGGAGTTTATGTGAATAGGTCGGTTCAACACATCATTTTACTTAGGAAAATTTTTCATGCGATGGGGACCGCATTTCTACATTTGTGGTCCCCAAAGTATAAAGCATTCATCTTAAAAATAGATGCAAAAAAACAATTGAAACTAATGGTCCCAATATCCTCTTGGTAAAATTATTTCTTTAATTTTCAAAATATTTTTATTTTTTCATATTCATGATCTCCACGTTAGAAATTACATGTATTTAAATATTAAGTCCAAAAATCCATCTCAAAAATAGTTTCTTAAGAGGTGGCTCATTTCTACAGGGACTCATAAAAGCTGTCCTTTTACTTATTTGTTGGTAGAGGGTTTGTTATAAGTATCAATAGTGTTGAGAGATAAATGACTAAAGAACTAAGGAAAATTATGCACCCCACCTCCTTCCCCCCCCCCCACGTCCCCAAATACAAAATTAATAAAATAAATTTTGTAGAAATTTTATCTCCCAATACTTTTAGTGTGGCACCCATGACCCAATTATTGCTTTTCTTGTTTTTACTCTCTACGTCAAAAAGTCATTATTTTAAAGACAAAACTATCCTTCCCTTCTTAACTCTACTCATTAAATGTTTCTCTCTCTACCTGTCCTCTCTCTTTTTACCCTCTCTCTATCTGCATCTGCCCTCCCTCTTTATATACTCTCTATCTACCCTCTTTCTCTATCCATTCACTCTCTACCCACCCTCTCTCTCTTCCTGGATAGAAATAGAGGGCAGGTAGAGAGAGAAAGAGAGAAGGCGGGTAGAGATAGAAGGACAGGTACGGAGAGAAAGAGAGAAGGTGGGTAGAGAGAAAGAGATAGAGAGAGGGTGGGTAGAGAGAAAAAGAGATAGAGAGAGAAAGAGAGAGAGAGAGTAGATAGAGAGAGATTTAATGGGTAGGATAAAGAAAGAGAATGACAGTTTAGTCTTTGAAACAATGATTTTTTAACTGAGTAAAAGCAAAAAAAAAAATAGTAATTAGGTCATGGGTGTTATACTAAAGAAGTCATGCACGTTGATGACAAAGAAAGAATGAGAACCACTACCATACACGACTGCAATGGTGGTTCGAACTCTCTATCCATCACCCTATGAATACGGTTGTTAAGACAGGGACAATCACCTCGAGAGAGAGAGAGAGAGAGAGCTTTCTCTGAATTGGCGAATAATTTTTATACATCAAAGGCCTAGGTTAGGCCAACACTGACTCTAGCCTGAAGACGGTCCTATAGACTGGGCCAGACCCTGACTCGGTCTTATAGACCTAAAGAAAATAAGAATAAGGAAAATGAAAAGGCTTTTCCTAAGGCTGTGCCGGGCCAGCCTAAGTGAGGTCCTACTCCAGGCCAGACATAGCCTTGCGTTGATACCAAGCCACATTTTGTGGTTCAAGCCTTAGTTTTTCATGGCCAGGCTAGGTAGGGCTACTCCGCCCATTGCACGCCCAACCGAATGGGTATGAAAGAGGGAGAGACGTTTACAATCAAAGAGAAAGAGAAAGAAGGTTACTTGTCTCTTGGCTTGGGCTCGTAGAGCGGCAGGCCCGACCATGAGAGTCCCACAGGGGAGGGTTTGAGAGGAGAGAGAGAGGTAGTTGGCATAAGCGAGGAGGAGGAAAGCGATGGCAGAGACGTGTTGCATGTTGCTGCCACCGGGCCTGTAGATGAGACCCCCGGGGGTGTATTGGATGTGGGGGAAGGTAGATTTGGAGATTAGGGTGCATATGAAGCTGTCTGCGTGCTCCTTGTACGATTGAAGAGACGTCACATTCCCTACAAGGTATTCCTATAACCAACACCATCAATGCATTTTTATTAGGAGAGAGAGAAAAGAGAGGGAGCTGGCTCACGTACGTGAATCGAATTACCTAAAGCTAAATCTAAATGTGTGCGTGCATGAGAGAGAGGGATTCATGTAAGGGAGAAGTTTATGTAGAGCCTAGGCTCTAAACAATTAAATTAACTCTATCTCTAAAATTTCACTAAAAGAGATTGTTTTGATGCTCAAATATCCTCAAATTAATCATCTCGACATCAAGATGCATTGACATGAGAAAAAAATGGATTTCAAGTTTTAGAAATAATGCATCTTGTAACGCATTTTTGGACCATCAATTTTCAAGATTTTCAAGTTTTTATAGATCTGCTTAACCTATACTATTTTTAAAGCTTTAAATTTTATAATTAAATATAGAAATATATTTTAAGTCTATCACAAAGATTTCTAGTGTAGAAACCATATTTTTCAACACTATTTGAAAGTGGGTTGTACTTTGATTGTTTAGGGCTCTCTCTATATAAACCACACCCTTCATGTAAACCTAGTGTTTTAAAATTTGGGCAGATTGTTTACCTACAAATCCATATTGAATCGCTAGATCAGCGATCTGGATCGTGTTTGAATCGGTTTAAATTGATGATCCAAAAAAAATTTAAAAAAAAATGAAATAAAATAAAAATTTATGGGGTCGAGATTTAGAAGGGATGTAAGGAAACATTAGATAAGCATAAAAGTACAGAGAAAACAATTTATAACAAAAAGTTTTAGGGGGGAAGGCTGCCGGACTCATACCATCTCAAAACTAATTTTCCTATCAATTTTCATCCAGATCAACAATTCCTACCAGAAATTGGGTCTTAAAACACGATGTAAAACCAAATGGGCGAATGGCAACTCCAAGTCGGGCCCAATCATGAGAGGGAGATGGGCGGGGAGCATGTCTTTATTGTTTCTCAAGCGTTCTTTGACGGTTGAAAAACAAATCCAAAGCAGTGAGAATGGATATTACTGTAGTTTTGATAAATATAAATGAGAAAAAAAAATAACAAAAAATAAAAAAAATTTTGAATTCCATAAAAAAAAATGGAAAAGGTTTCTATATTTCCCCTACAATATAGAAGTTCCATCCTCCCCCTACCATCCAGCCGTCTAATTTTGATCAAGAGAGCTACTCACCGTTTTGATCTTAGATCCAATGTCTCAAAATATTTTTTGTAATATTTTTTATAAAAATTATGTGAATGAAATTTGGTACGTGTCATCTTCTCATTGAGGCACACCTATAAAAAATATTAAAAATAAGTTTTTCGATAAAATATAATGACCAAAATACCCCTTGAAACTTTCAGGGGGTATTTTGGTCATTTTATTTTATTGAAAATATTTTTTTTATAATTTTCGCTAGTGCGAGTTTAATAGAAAAATGGATGTCCAAAATTTCGTGTCAAAATAGTTTATAGAAAAATAAAATAAAAATAAAATAGTGTAGAAACGTGACATTGTGATTGGGGCAATCTTAGCCCTCCATTCAGAATGGAAGATTGGATAAGGGGGAGGATAGAACTTCTATACTGTAGGGGAAGCATAAAAAGCTTGCCCAAAAAAAATTATCTTGTTTTAGTGTCAAAAGATCCTAAAATTCATAACCTCCTCAACAATTATGGATTCGAAATATAAATCCAAGAAAATCAATGGATTTTCAATATCAAGGATTTTTGTCATAGATTCCTCAAATATCTTGTTAGGATAAACTATATAAAATTCATGGGTTCCTTGCGATCACTTCCATAACCATTGTTTGGTAACAAAACTTGATGCATTTTTTCTCTCTAAAATTTTAATATACTTTCTCGCTCTAAAACTCAAAATTTGGTACAATGTGTCTAAAATTTTTTGAGATTGTGTCTCTCTCTAAAATTTGATGTAATTTCTATCTCTAAAATTTTAATATATTTTCTCTCTCTAAATCTCCAAATTCGATATAGTTTATCTCTAAAACTCAAAATTCCATATAGTTTCTCTCTCTAAAAACTTGAGATATTTCTTTCTTGAATTTATTTTTGGCAGTTTCTCTTTCTAAAATTTATAATAATTTCTCTCTCTAAAAGTTTAAGAATATTTTCTCTCTCTAAAATTTTAAGAATACTTTCTCTCTCTAAAACTTAAGATTTGATATAGTTATTCTCTCTAAAAATTTTGAAGTAGTTTCTATCTCTAAAACTTTCTAGGTAAAATTTGATATAGTATCTTTCTCTAAAAATTAAAATTTGAGATTGTTTTTCTCTCTAACAATTTTGAAATAATTTTTCTCTCAAAAATATGATAGTTTATCTCTAAAACTTAAAATTTGAGATAGTTTCTCTCTCTAAAATTTTGAGAAATTTCTCTCTCTAAAAACAATTTGATTCTTTTGCTCTCTAAAATTTTAGCATACTTTCTCTCTCTAAAATTTTAACATACTTTTTCTCGTTAAAAGTTAAAATTTGAGATAGCTTTTTTCTCTAAAAATTTTGAGATAGTTTCTCTCTTTAAAAAAATTTAGTACTTTCTCTCTCTAAAATTTTCATATCTACCAAATGCTCCCTATGTTTTGGGTTGAGGGAGCCAATGAGTGAAACTAGGAAATTCAAAAAAACAGGTTTTGGGGTGGAAATAAAATCATGGAAAGTAGGTCTTATTTTTATGATTTTGATTTTTTTGATTTTAAGTATCCTAATTATTAAATAATTCAAACAGTAGATTTTAACAATATCCAAGATATTAAAAATCCATGCTTTAAAATCCATGTACCCAAATAGGCCCTTTGGGATTTCCCATGCCCCAAACTCTCTGGGTAAAATTTCGAAATGAGGCTTCACTTTTTCTCATAAAGCTTAGGCCTTATAGAATCTATAGAAACTATATCCAAAAAAAAAAATATGTGCTCACGTAAACATCCTTGGTTCTAAAATTTGTTTGTTTTTTAAAGTTAAGAATCAAAATCCAATTTGAGATTGTAAATCACTCACTTTAAGTTAAAAAGAAGGTGAGTATTAGAGCTAGCAACGAGCAAGACAAGCACCGGTCCTAGCCTGCTTGGGACTACACCAGACGGTTGATGTCTTAGCCCTGTCCAGGACAAGCCAGGCCTGGACAGGTATAATAGAGCTAAGAAGAAAAAACAAAAAACCAAAAAAAAGAAGAGAAAAAAAAAACAACGGAAAAAAGAACCAGCTAGTAGCCCTTTCAACGCACTGACGACCCGGGGACCGTGGTGCCCTATCCCTCAGGCAACATTTATAACCCCAACTCCAGTTTTTTAAGGTTAGGATGACCGGGCCAGGCCGGGCTACCGAGCTCATTGCCAATACTAGTGGGTAGTTTAGTTGAGGTCATCAAAACTCATATAACGGACCTGGGAGATGAGAACATTGAACCCAGCGTGCTTATTATCCCAACCAAACTCGTTGATATTTTCATCCGCACCAAGGATCTTTCTATTATTTTGAATGTAATTGAGGTATGTCTCGTTTCCGGTTGCCCTTCCAAGCCATGCAGCTCCCCATAACAACTCATCCTACCACACAAAAACAAAAGGACATTTTCAAAAGGATATTAAATAAATTTATCTTGTGAATTTTAAATAGATTTTATATTTTTTTTAAAATATGGTTCCATACTTCCTTTGTTGTATGAAATTTGTTGTATGTAACAAAAAAAAGAATGAACTAAATAGACAATTCCTTTAAGCGCATGCTTTAATTAGATGGAGTTTATCAAATTATCTATCAGAGATGAAAATTTTAATACTTTATCCATATTTTTTATTTAATTTCAAAATGCTCATAAAATAACAATTACACAGTCTTGAATTGAAATAGTTCCAAAATAGTAATAAATTTCGCATAAATAAATGAATCATAGAAGTAACAATAAGTGGACAATTGGGGCATGCCTGATAGCCACTAAAGTCACAGTAAAAAGGGCAGACTGCAGATTTCAAGCTCGGATTATCACTATAAGCTCCTCTATGATTGTCAGCAAATTCAAACACTCGGACGGCATTTTGGAGCAATGTCTGTGAGTATGCCGAGTCTGAGGAACGGAAAGCAATGGAGGCGGCAGCTAATGCTGCAGCTGTCTCTGCGGCCACCTCTGACCCAGGATTCGCAGCATCGACACTGTATACAGTTCGAGGGGTGTCCATGTCCTCTGGTCTCTCCCAGCAATTGTGGTCCTTAGCTGGATCACCAACCTGTCACATACTAATGGGGTTTTTTTTTTCACTTTCACTTAGCCTTAAATTTCTATCCAAAAGGCCTGAGTAATCTTTTCCTTAGTTGAATAATGCAAAGTAATCAAAATATTGAGCAGGGGCTCAGCCTAGTTGAGTAGGGGCTCAGCCTAGTGCTCGGACTTGACCTAGGGTGAGGTGAAGTACCTCTGAGTTGTGTGCACAACTCGGGGGCATTTAAAAAAATTTAAAATTCAAGAAAAACATTAAAAGATACAGATATGTTACACAAATTTTTCTCTCATATGATTTGGAGGTACTTAGCACAAACTGTGAGTGTTTTTTTGCATAATCTCTATTTTTCCTTTTTGGATTTTTTTAAGTGTCTTAATATATAAATCAGGTTCTTTAAAATCTATTTTATCTCTACTTTTTTCAACTTATTTTAAATTTTTAAAGTTGTTTTAGGTTTGACTATACTTCTGAGTTATATTTTTTATTTTAAAAAATTTTATTAATTTATTTATATTTTTTGAGAGCCTTTTTAACCTTATACTAGACTTGACCTAGTCCTAAGGAACTCACCTCGACCGGGGCCAATGTTGTTGTTTACGGAGACAGTAACGTATAAAGCGATGGCACATGCCTTCTTGGATAACTATTGAAAACCGAAAAGATACATCAAATTTTAGAAAATGACCCAAAAACATCCTTAATTTGGGATTCCGTGATGCTTTGATTAATTAAAAACTCTCAATTACTAAATCTTGGGTTACTCGCAATAAAAAACAATCGATGCAATGTTAATCCTTAAAAGGAAAAGTTTATATAGAGCCTAGGCTCTAAACGATGAAATTAGAGCCTGCCTAAAAAATCCTATTAGAAAAGATTGTTTTAATGCTCAAATATCATCAAATTGATCATCTCCACATCAATATATATGAATACGAGAAAAAAATAGATTTCAAGTTTTGAAAATAGTATATCTTGTAACATATTTTTTTACCATCAATTTTCAAGTTTTCATAGATCTGCACTACTTTTTATAATTTAAAGCCTAGGCTCTATACAAACCGTGCCCCACTTTAAAAGGGTAAGAAAAGCGAGTGCTTTTCCGGATTAAGATATCCATATAACTATTTACTAAATGTGGGTTTAGGAGCCATAAGGGAGACCAGCAAACCTTTCTAATGAGGGAAAAGTTTATACAGGCACAATTAAATTTGAGCCTACTTCAAAACATTTACTAGAAGAGGTTGTTTTGATGCCCGAATATCATCAAATTGATCATCTCGACATCAAGATGTAAGGGCCTGAGAAAAAAATGAATTTCAAGTTTTGGAAATAGTGCATCTTGTAACATATTTTTCGACCGTCAATTTTTAAGATTTTCAAGTTTTTATAGATCTGATTGATCTACATTATTTTTTAAGCTTTAAATTTTATAACGAAAGATGAAAATATAATTTAAGGCTATCACCAAACTTTCCCATATTGAACCCTATTTCTCGATACTATTTGAAGGTGGACTCAAATTTGATTGCTTAGAGCCTCAGCTCTATACAAACCGCACCTTTCTAAATAAGTCTAAAGATTTCCTAATTATATAGCTTCCATTTACTCCCTTTCGTATAACACATGTTAGGAATATTTTTAAATCTCAAATTTAAGGGATGTAATCTCTACGACTCATGAACTAGTCTCAATAATAAAAAATTCAAACAAAAACTATTTATGTACTAGAAAAATAACAATGCTTCAAGATTGAATAGAAACTATCCAGTTTTTTAAACGACTCATAAATTAATCTCAATTAAAAAAATTCAGTAAGAAACTCTACATGTACTAAAAAAATAAGAGTGCATAAAGATTGAATAGAAACCATTCAATTTTTAAAGTGCTTAAATTAAATGTCACAAAACTTGAAATTCATATTTTTCTTACAACACAGAATATCTATGTTTCACCTACCATCCAACCGTTCAATTTTGATCAAATGAGCCACTCACCGTTTGATTTAGATCCAATGCTTCATAGTATTTTATTTGCAATTTTGTTTTGCACAGATTGTATGGATATGAAATTTGGTAATGCCATATTCTCATTAGGGTACATTGAAAAAAAAATATTAAAAGAATTTTTCGATAAACTATAATGACCAAAATACCTTTTGAATCTTTCAAAGGTATTTTGGTCATTTTATTTATTAGAAATATTTCTTAAAATTTTGTACTCGTACGAATTTCAGGTAGGATTGGATGTCCAAATTTGGTGTTAAAATATTTTATAAAAAAAAATAAAAATAAAATAGTGTAGAGATGTGAGATTGTGATTGAGGCCACAGACACTGGGTTGGATAAATATATATATATATATATATAAATTTTATGCTATAGGGGAAACAAAAGAAAAGCTTGCCCCAAACAAACACCCACACATTTGAAGAGATACACCAAAATGGGGTTTAGAGAGAGACAAATTTGGAGAGACATTAAATGAAATGGGGGTTTAGAGAGAGAGAAGGGGGTATAGCGGGAGAGAGAGAGAGTAGTAGGAGTAAGGGTATTGTGTGTGAGAGAGAGTAGATAAAAGAGCAAAACGTAGTGCGATAGAGAGAGAAGTTGCAGAGAGAAAAAAGGACAATTGCGAGTTTGATAGAGAGAGTTTGGATAGAGTGTGTATGTCAAAGAGAGAAGAAGAGAATAACAAACGTACAAAGAGAGACAATAAGAAAAGGGAGAGAGACCGGCCGACCGACCTACCTGCACGAACACCCGGCCAGGCTGCGAGACTGCCTTGAGGAGGTAGTCTGTGGCCCAGCGTATTGCGGCCATGGCATTGTCGACCTCACCGGGGGCCCCGAACTCACTCATCCCCCATGCCAACATCGTCGTCGTGAAGGCCAAAGGAAACCCAAACTTGACATTGTCCCCCGCATCGTAATAGCCTCCTTCCAGATCGACCCCGCCCGCCTGCCCATCAGACAACGCTGAATCGCCCCTCCACCGGACCCGTTGCCTTGCGGGCAGGCGCCCTGAACGTTGCCCCTCGAAGAACAGGATGCATTTCGACAATGCATCAGCATAGTCGTGGCCGGCGCCCAGTACATGGTGAAGAGAGAGAAGGAGAAGAGAGAGAAAAAGTGGGGAATGGTGGCAGTGAAGTTGGGGCATGTTTTGTGTCCAAGAAAGAAGGGAGACAGAGCTAAGGGGTGAAGATCAATTTCCCTTTATTTGGTTTTTGCTTTCCATTTATTTATAGAGAGAGGGAGAGTTAGTTTTGGAAAAGTAGAGAGAGAGACAGAGCAGTTATTAGTGCGGATTGGTTTTATTTGCCTTCGTGGGAGTGTTCATAAAATCAGGCCGAATAACAAAATTATGTAAGGTTTATATTATAGGTGTGGTTTGTATAGGGCCGAGGCTCTAAACAGTCAAAGTAGAGCGCACCTTTATATAGTGCTGAGGAATGTGTTTTTGGATTGAAAATCTTTGTGATAGCCTTAAAATATATTTTCATCTCTAATTATAAGAAGGTGAAAAAAGCTTAGATAAGGTTGCAACTTTAAAATGTAGAATTATAGATGCACCACAAAATCCATCGGAAAATGTTAGTTTTAATGTTGAAAAACATCTAAACATAAAGATGTATGGATAT